TTCAAATAGAAAATCTCGACTTCTGTACAAGATAGATGGGTATTTTTTCCCCATCAAAGGCAAAGCAAAGGAACAGGTTTTAAGATTATAGCATCAACTCCAATTGCCCCCCAAAACTGACGAGCGCCCGGTTCCACCGTGTCGCGACACAATTATTTAGGTAGCGCTACCTGGAGATAACATGTTCGTGGGTGGTTGGCAAGTGCTCTGGTGTGGTTTGCTTCTTCTTTCCTATCAAACATCTATCGTCTTTATCTTCCCTTCTTATTTTTTACGTTTGTTACTCTCTTGTAACACCCCTAATCTTCTGGCGCTCATATGACCTTATGCAGTTGTGAGCGCCGTAAAACGTCTACTAAAACTAAAAAAGAAAACACGTTCTTTGTGAGGGGAAAATACATACACACAAGTGACAGGAAAAAGGTGTACATGATGTGCTTTCTCACGCAATAATTGCGGAAAATTAAATGTCGACCCTCTGCCTCTAACCTAAAAAATATGTCAACCACTCCTTCACTGCTGTGTATACGTATATAATCATATCACATGTGATCTCCCTAATTGGTGCACTGACATTTTTTGGCCGTTGGGTTAGAGAGGATATTTTTGAAGGTGTGTTGGGAACTTGCTTAGGTTCTGATTTTCAACAAAAGATAGAAATACTGTGGCTTTATCTCTTTTAAATAAATAGTTTATTTTCTTTCCGCTCATATGACGTTGTGCAGTTGGGAGCGCCGTAAAAACACTACTAAACTAAAATTAAACTGAACAACCGTTAACCCTATCCGTACGTCGTGTTTTACTATCGTATCCATGCGACATGGAGAACTCTGTGCCACCACTTTCAAAAGAGGAAATTTACTCGTTAATCCGATCCGTACGCTTTGCATAGCAGTCTGTCAAAATGATTTTTTGAGAAATACTGAAAGTTTCAAAGAGATCTTCGTACTAGAAGTATTCTAAAATGTGAAGAATACAACCCTGGGGGTACAAAATGACCCCTGGGCGTACGGATAAGGTTAAATGAATAGTTTATTTTTTGTTTCCACAAACGTTAATGGAAACGCTTCAGCATTGAAGGTGTTAAAGTGTCTTTTGTGAATGACGTCACGGGTACCTACACACGAATCACAGAGAGAGGAGGCCCTGGGTGTATGTGCTAGGTTGAGTGAGCTTCAACTTCCAGTGGAGGACTTAACTTTTCTTTCACCCAGTAGTTACTGGAAGGAAACTGCAGAGCATCATAAATGGATGTCTAAGAAAGATAGTGGGGATCACGTGGCACGATCGAGTCACAAATGCTCAACTGTGGGAAAGAACAAGCCAAAGGCCGGTAAATGAAGACATACAGGTGAAGAAATGGAAATGGATTGGGCACACCCTGACGAGACCCCCGACTGGCATCCTCAGACAGGCTTTGACGTGGAACCCACAGGGAAAACGTAAAAAGGAAGACCAAAAATGACTTGGAGACAAGTGGTACAAGCAAACATGGAAAAGGCGGGGACATCGTGGAAACAGTTAGAAAAGGATGCACAGGACAGGCTTAGCTGGAGAAATGTTGTTGATGGCCTATGCTCCACTGGTAGTTAAAAAGGGCGAGAGTGAGAGAGAGAGAGAGAGAGAGAGAGAGAGAGAGAGAGAGAGAGAGAGAGAGAGAGAGAGAGAGAAGGCGTTTTGGTGGGCGGTCACTTGGGTGAGTCCTTGAACAAGACACAATAACCCTTACTAAAAAAAATAATTTTTTAAATAAAAAAATACATGGCGCTGCAAAGAGGAAACCAGCAGCAACATGTTTGTGAAGTAGTCTGCAGTGATCTAGATCTAGTCTTGCTTATTATTTGTCATTCTATGTATGTATATTTGGGAGCAGAGGCAATTAATTAACTTAAGCTTAGCTTAAGGGAAGCAGCCTCTAGCAAAAGAAAGGAGAGTTTAGTATGTAAGGAGTACTTTCCCTTTAAACGAGCTCAACGGCTGAGGGTATTGGAGAGGGAAAGAGACAAACTATAACCACTATCACGTTTTGAATTATCCAGTGGCAGTCCCAAGCCTGTATAAAAGGTCAGGAAGTATGTAACTTTTTGTGTGTGTTTTTTTAGTATGTGTTTTACGGCGCTCGCAACTGCTTAAGGTCATATGAGCGTGCGGGACACATTAAACTTTTCAGTAGGTAGGAAATTTTGAATTTTGCCTGGGTGGCGATCGAAGCCTACTCTAATCGATTCTAGACCACCAAGGGATCTTTAACGTGTGCAACTTGCACACAGGCCCTCCAAGATTTTTCGCCCTAGTCCGAGAAGGCTAGGTGTAGATCTTTTCTACAACAAGATCAGGGGTGTGGCTGAAAGACAGCAGTAAGAAGGAGCCAGGGAGTAGCAGTAGAAAGGTTGCACAAGGGGGCTATCCCGAAAAGTGCTGTTTTGAGAAAATCGAATGAAAAGTTTTTGCCCCTTATTCAGTTTCTTTAAAAGACGAGGAGAGCTTTCTTAATAACAAAACAAATATACACACCAATGAAAGCAAACTTTTGGAGGAGGTCAAGATTTCTGGAAACCCCCGAAATCTAGGTTAGCCCGCTTGTCCTTAAAAGCGACCATTTATGAGTATTGGGGACTTCATAAAATTAGACACTACATCTTTATCTTTTCTGGTCTGTGATCTTCACACATGTGTCTTATACAATGTTGCAACAAAATTCCATCCACTACTCATGTACAACTGAAAAGAAGGTGGAAAAGAAATCACTTCTGGAGATGGCTGTTCTTTTCACCCACATTGAGCCAGTGACCTTTTTTGTAGGGCTGGGGAGAGGTTACTGAATTTACTTTACTTTTACTTTACTTTTTCATCCTCTGTTGCCGTTAAGCGTCGAGGGGAGACGCTGTTTTCTATGGTAGGCCAGCTCCGCAGCTCTTTCAGTTGTGATGTTATGTTTTCTTATGGTTTCCTTGACACCCTCGATCCACCTTTTGCGTGGCCTTCCTCTTCCTTTATAGCCTGAGTGCTTGGTGTTGTAGGCTCTCGAGGCTGGCTGGTCAGGTGACATGCGTAACAGGTGGCCAAACCATTTTATCCTCTGTCTTTCTATGTTACTGAATAAACCACAAAAATTCAATTTGTTCTTTGTTGCTCACGAGAAAGTGGGGCATCTGCTTTATTATCCCAGTGAAGGTCAATCATAAAAAAGAATCTGTACTTTATAAATGTAACCAAATTGAAATACATCAGCACATAACTTCTTCTATACAGGAATGTTTACAAACATAAACGTACCATTTACAAATGAAATCATCGAATACATGCAATAAAAAAAGTAATAAACTTTTTCATAAACTCATCAAGTGAAAAACACAAAACATTTTAAAAAATGACAATTATCATAAGGGTGACATGATCTCCAACTGCTGTTGCTATGTAGTATGCTGGTGGGCATCAATTCAACAAATAAGGAAATGGATCAGGGAGGTTGAAGGTGGGAGATCTGACATGAAAGACGAAGCGCACACAAAAAACACAGGGAGTGAAAGGTGATGCACATTGTTTGTTTTTTTCGACATGAGTGGCATCATACTGAGCTGGCTAGTCACACCTGGCGTAACTGTCAATGGAGACTACTACAGGTTCGTCCTCAAAGACAAGCTGAGACCTGCGATCCAGAAAAAAAAGATCCGCTTTGCTTGAAGAAGGCGTCATCCTGCATCACGGCAACGCGCCTGTTCACAAGTCCAGAGTTGTGAACGAGCTTCTTAAGGGCTTCTCATGGGAATTATTGGAACACCCGCCCTATTTGTCCGATCTGGGACTTGGAAAAACAATCACTGACAACTGTCTTTGACCGCTGGGTACATCAAAAGGAGAAATGTCTTGAATTTGATGGTTCCTTCGTTGAATATGTATTTAAATAAGCTTTCTGTTGATACCAAATACAAGGTGATTTATAGTTATATGTGAGGACAGCATGACAGGGAAACTTTATTCAGAGACAGACCTCGTAGCAGTCAACTCTAGGGAGCTCAGTTCAGGCGCACGAGTTCTGTAATGTTCAGGACACCAGGACTCAGGAGGTAAAAAAAACACATCCGCACATATTTGTGGTGTTTGTTCATTTGTTGTCTTCTTTGTACAGAATGTATGAATACTTACTAAATGAAATACAAAGACACAAAAACAATAATTGAAACGTATAGGCCTGTTTTTTCTTTCCTTTTTTTTCCAAGGGAAGTGGACATCAGTATGAATAGACAGCAAGGAGTAGGCACAGTATTCGCCACATTCTGTCAGTCTAAAAGGAACAGACTAAACATTTCCCTGTCCAGCTCTTCAAATGTGGTAAGCCAAAAATTGAAGTTTCTTAATCAATGGTGTTGGTTGCAGGAGTTTAAAAAATATTTTGTCAAAATTCAAAATCCACAAATGTTGAAAAAAAAAAAAAGCAACGGCAAGAAAAGATATAAAGTAAAAGTACATTTGTTACAAGGATAAAAGTTTTTCCTCTCTCCAGAAATTTTGGAGAGAGCAACGGAGCATCAATGGACATGTCCGGAGTGCAGGGATGTTGCTTCCCGAAACAATGAAACAATGAACAATGAAAACTTTCCCTCTCTGGACTAAGGACAATTGAACGGCTTGTTGGCGAATTAATTTTAACACTGTACAGCAACAATGAGAGGTGGCTAACTTTCATACACCCATCAACGGAGTCTGCATGATGTCATCGTTGAAGGAGAGCTCCTGCGTCCACTCGTACAGTTTGTTGGCTTCTTTGTCCCAGTCCTCGTCGCCCATCTCCCCAACTTCCTCCTCCTCAAACATCTCCGTCTCGTCACCGCCGAGCTTGGCGAAGTAGTCCTCCATGTCCCCCGCCTCCGACATGAACTCTCCCTTTTCCTCATCTCCCTGAAAAAAACAGGGAAAAAATCTCCCCATCAGCTTGATCATCATCATCATCATCATCATCAATGCCTTTCACCCCTGGCAGGGTATAGGCCACATACAAGCTCCTTCCATTTATCTCTGTATCAGCTTGATGCTATACACAAAAATTACCAATGAATTAAAAAAAATAATTTTATAGTAGAGGGTTTTACGGCGCTCGCAACTGCATAAGGTCATATGAGCGCCAATATCAATGAATGACAATGACACAAAAATTGTGCCTTTTACTTGTAGGGAACCTAACTAACTTTCACTAAAAGCAAAAACTATTTCTTTTAAAGGAAGACAAAGAGTAAAACAATTGGGTTATCTCAACTCTACTTGATACGTCAAAAGCTGCCATAACAGGGCTAAGTTGAATACAAGCTTTCGTTACTGATATTTTGGGGCAGTATTTATCACAAAAAAGCATTGGGTGAGGATGATTAAGGTTATAGAGAGGGTGGTTGGCGCGTGTTCTGGTGTGGTTTGATCCTTCTTTCTTACCGAATACCTACTGTCCTTATCTCTTCTCCTTCTTTTTTATTTTTTGTTACTCTCTTGTAACACCTTTAATATTCGGCACCTAAATGACCTTATTGTTTTGCAAGTGCTGTAAAACACTAAGACCAAAAATAAGGTTAAAGAAAACACTTACCAGTTCCCGACTGTAAACCTTGCGCATCTTGAGGGCTCTCTGCTTGGCCTGTTTGGACCTCCGGCTCGACATCTGACTGTGGCTCACTGCTCCGGACAACTTGGACTTGGATGGCGTTGGGAACGGACCAAATGGGTACACCGGGGTTCTGAGAAACAGAATTTAATGCACATGTTATATATTCTTAATAAAAATATTAGGTGAGGGTCGAAGGTGAGTGAGTGGGGGGGGGGGTGTGAGGCAGCGTGGCGAAATCAGGGGCTCGTCAAAATAATCGAAGTGAAGAAACTTGCATTTTTCCAAAGGTATCAAAGAACACACTTCTGTGCGGATTTTACTGAAAAACCAAGATTAAAGGCACATAAAATGTAAATTTTCAGTTTCCACGGACTCTCCAGCTTAGCAAATAACTCATCTTTTGCAGCCATTTTCTCACATATTTTACCTCTGAAACCAGGTGACCCCCACCTCCTTCATTCGCAAATATCTCAACGTCTATTCAAGATAAATGGACACTTTTTTCATCCAAAGCAAGACAAATGAACAGCGACGTTCACTATTATCATTATAATCATCGCACGCAACCCTCCTTACTGGTGGCAGCTTAGTGCGTATGATACTAATGCAATATGTGAAGTGTGCTGACAAAATGAGTTACTTCTCAGATTCAAGCCTTATGGAAATAGAAACACCACGCTTAAAAGTGAAGTTTTACAATTTATAAGTATTAAATAATAAGAGGCATGTTACACATAAAAATACAACATCAATAGAAGCACTATTAATTTGACATCGTTGTTGATTTTTTGCCAATATCTCCGTTTGTGGATTGCGAGAAGTAGCTCATTTTGTCAGCACGCCACACATATGTTCTCAATAAGACTCTGGTAACAATCCTGAACCCATCCCCCAAAGGATGAATCTCGGATTGTCTTCTTGGAGAAAAAGAATTGTAAAGTATAAAAAGTTACAATGTGCAGTCTACCATCTACAAAACTAACCTTACCATAACCTTGAGTTTACTATAGCTAAATTATCTAACTCATCACATTTATGGATACCTTGCGGGCTTTGGAGCTGGGGGAAACTGAGCACTTATGGACCTGTCCGGTGTGCAATGATCCAACGTTGTTGCTCAGGACTGGTAATACAGGTAACGCATCACATGCACAATGTTTTACCTACCAGATGGTGTCATTTTGACAAGTTAGGGCGAAGGTTATGTCAGGCCCTTTCTGTGAACTTTATTTTTATCTGCCGTATTTTTCATCCTGAGAAAGTGACAAAAAAAAGAGCCTGCCTGCAGTAGTATGATTTGGGTTTGCATTTTTCTTTACTAAGGCACCAGACAGTCGACGAGGATAAATTGTCTGAAAGAACACTGTAGATAGTTCCCTTTGGAGTGAGTTCTGAGAAATTGAAGCGTGGTTTTCCAAAACTCCGTAAGTCAAGTTTGACAAGCGTCTGATTTCACCACGATGCCTCACACGTTTATAATATAAACATGACCCATTTATGTATTATTATGCGTACATGAGTATATAATGATTTAGATTTTAATAATACTAGAGTCTGGGATACGGACCTTTCAGCTGTGAGCAGAGCATATGGCTGTTTCAGACATGTATGTGTGTCGAGGCATCGTGGTGAAACCAGGCGCTTGTCAAAATTAACTCAGTGAGTTTTGGAAAACTGCTCTCCATTTGTTTTTACCTCATTTTTGAAATAGCTTTGATGTGTCGGACTTGCACTTCCTGGGTCACCGGTCTGGACAACAGGATAGGAATTTCTTCCTTCAGACGAGGCGTCAGTCTGTTGTTGTAGGCAAAATCCACGACATCGAAGAAGATTGTGTGCCGAGGTAGCACTGAAAAAGAAACACAAATATAATTATAATATGTAAGGCAGCGTGGTGGAATCAGGCACTCGTCAAAATAATGAAATCGAAGAAAGCGGCATTTTTCGGCCAGTTTGGCAATTTCTCTTTAATTTTTGTATTTTGGCTGAACACTTTATACGTCTAATTAAAAACATATTTCGGTGTGGATTTTACAGAAAAACGTTTATTAAAGGCACAAATATTGCAAATTTTCTGTTTCCAAGGACTCTCAATCTGTTTGAAGTTGCCAAACTTTGGCGGCCATTTTCTCGCTAATTGTACCTCTGAAACCAGTCGATCTTCACCTCCTTCAATTGCAAATATCTCAACTTCTATTCAAGACAGATGGATATTTCTTTCATCAAAAGCAAGACGATTGTAAAAGCTTTAAGTCGATACCAATAACTCTATATGCCCAAAAACTGACAAGTGCCTTGTTCCACTGCATCATGACTCATATAGATCTCTAGACAAGTTTAAACAGGACTGTTTGATTTTGTTGTCAGATAAAGTAAAGTCATAAACAATACTGATGAGAGAGGGAATGAGGCAGAGAACGGAGAGACAGGAAAAAGGAAGAACAAATGGAAGAGAAAAGAACAGGTTTACAGACAGGAAATGATTGCAAAGAAAGGAACCTTCCAGTACAGGTGAAAAGAGAAATTTGTGCTACCACTTTGATCTCTGGAAGTATATTTATTAAACTTTAGGTCTTAAAATATGTTTGTGAGGAATTGGAAGAAGTAAGTTACTCAGCAAGGAGATAAACTGTACTTGAGATACACACAAATTTTGATAAAGAAAATGCCACAACCTAAAAATTTCCCTTACCCACACCATCACCTATAATGATATAAGTGCGGGGTAGAAAATGTGGCTTGTTCATGAAATTACTTGAATATCAAAAAGGTCTACTAGTGACTGTCTTTGATTGATAATTTTTTTGGAGGACAGAGAAGAGCAAGTAGGCCTACTCAGATAATAATCATACATGCAATCTGGTCTTTTGTGTTGTCGTATTTTAAAATGTTGAGAATATATTTCTTGAGCCGTTAAAAGGTGAGACTTCTGTTTAGACTACCTACAAAAACGCCTCAGAAAAAACATAAGCTCAGGCAAAGTTTAGTATGTGGTAGGTACTGTACATGGATCAATGATCTCAAAAGGATGGGTGAGACATTTCACATTGCTAAGTCAATATCTGTTCAACTTTCTGTGAGTACTTGTCCTTTACCAAGACAGACCAGGAAAAACAACTCACCATCCAATGTGAGTTTCCTCCAGTAGTTCTCTTTTCCTCCTTGATAAGCCGGGCTTTCATCCAGATTGGATAAATACTGTAAAGAAATACTTCAGTACATTATTTATATGGAGAAATAAAAGTACAATTGAAAAAAAATTTTTTTATTGAGAGGTTCATCTCTTAAAGGATGCACAGGACAGGCTTCCCAGGAGAAATGTTGCTGATGGCCTATGCTCCATGGGGAGTTCAAAAGAGCAAGAGAGAGAAGAGGTTCATCTCTTGTAGCTGTACAAGAAGATACATAGAAATTTTCAGAATCGACAAAGCTGTTGATACTTGAAAAAGACATCGGGAGAGCTAATTGTAATATTTTCCCTGAATCTGTCACTTGCATCTAAGAAAGGGTTTGAGACATCAGGACTTTGGCACACAGCAGCTTGAAATATCAGGGAATGTCTGTCTGGAAAGGGGATATCCATTACTTGCGTGTTTACCCAGTTAGATAAAAGAACATCCGAACTAGTTTCACTAAACCCTGAAAAAACATCAACATCTAATGTTAAAAACTGAATCACTTACAATACATACCAATTTAGGAACTATAATTCTTCCATTGCTATTCCTAGAAGAAAGAAAAAGGAAGGAAGTGAGTAATAACAAATTCTGAAAGGGTAAAAGAATTTCAGAGGTGGAGAAATTCTGTTCTTGGAATCACTTGCCTGCATATAGTCTTTTAGAGTTGTCACGTCTATTTCGTCAGTGACTGGGCATTGCCGCTGTCTGATGGTGTCTTGAAGTATCTGATCATAAAATATTCTGTTGCCCATTTGTCGTAGCGAGTCTTCGGCAGCCTGTAGGGTGATAAGATATATATGTATATATATATAAATAAAGACTAATATAAGACTATATATATATATAAAGACTAATATAAGAATAGGCCAGTTCTCTACATTATGTGAAAATCCATCCTGGGGGTTGGAAATTTTACCCCAAGGGTGAATAGATAAAATTATTTGACTTTTGAAAGAAACTAGAACATTGCAATAAACTGAAACAAAACTACCTTACAACAGACCACAGAGTAGGCCTATAGTAACTCAGCTGTCTTCTATAGACTTTCTACTCTGAGAATCCTGAAAACCAACACAAGGCTACAAAATAAATACACACCTCAGTTGCAGGCTTTATGGTCTTTCTCCCACTCATGTATTTCACCTTCTGGCCATTTGAGTTGATGAATATTTTGAAAAATATCATTGGAGGAAACTCTGCACCCCCAAATCTGAAGAAGAAGGATAAAAATAAAATATTATGCTTCACAACCAGCAGATGATGGAGACAATCAGCCTGCCCACACTGAAATGGAGCCACATAAAGAGGGGTGAGGAAGCATGGAGCACCCCGTATTCCTAAGACCCCAGTTCTACATTCAAGTAATTCAAGTAATTATGCTTCACGATGTGACTGTGCAGCAACAATAACCCCTTCAGCATGTGTAAGGAAATCCTTTTATACCTTTAAGTTCTTCAATTAAATTCTTGAGATACAATTAAAGAGCATTACAGAGTTACTATTCCAGTAGAATTCACATTTATGAATAAGTGCACAAATAGTATTTGTAGGCTTAATGTATCAGTTTATTTCTTTTGATTATAATAATATAATAATAATAATATATAACATTTATATAGCGCATTTCCAAAAAAGTAGCTCAATGCGCTTTACATTGGAATACCCATTTTTCAAAAACCTTTCTTACTACTTCCTTTCTTCTCAAGCAATATACATTAATGCACACACACACACACACACACACACACACACACACACACACACACACACACATACACACACAGAGACTATTTTTCATCCAGACATAGGAACAGAACAAATATAATGAAAGATAACGTTAAAAGCTTATGAAGGATAGGCCTGTAGGAACAGAAAAGAGGATTCATCTACCATAATTTAGGAAGGTTTGCAGAAGTCTTCTTGTTTTTGAAAGATGCTAAACAAGATATGTGTCCCTCACAGTAAAGGCAATAATATCTGCCTGACATCTTCATTGCTATAACTTTATCTTTGAGGGATGAAAGTCGGGACTGGAGTCAAAGCTCTGCAGCCTTTCTTAGGTTATAGCTGGCTACAATTAAGTCATCAGCATAAGTTTGTACAGTGCCACAACAATGCAAAATGAATATAACTGAAATATCATGCATGACATATTTTTTACCACCCTACCTGAATCGTACTCGGACTTGTTGGCTTTTATCGCTGAGAAACTCAGCCTCTTTTGGGGACACCTTTCTTAATATTTCATATGACAAGGAATTTTCCTGTGAATAAAGAAAAAAGGCTTTCTCACATGTGATAACAAAGTGACTACTATGATATACAGTATAACACGGATAGGTCGAACACAGAAGACTTGAAATCAGGCATCCATTGAACTGTGCCTGCTGTCCCATTTTTTTTTTTTTACTTCTTCATCTTTGTAAGGCTGTCCCCATGGTTTTATGCACCCAGCATAATGGAGCAAAATTTGATCATTTTTGGTATAATTTCTGATTATTTTCCTCTATCATTCTTTTTTTAAATCTACAGAATGGCATGATTTCACATTTTTCGGTTCAGTTTGCATAATTTCAGAATTTTTCTATCATAAAACGATGGGGACAGGAAACGATGGGGACAGGTAAGATATCCCTCGACCTATGGATCCCTCAAACTACTGAGGCCAGTCCCAACGAATTCGAGCTATCCGTGTCATACTGCATGAACCTACCACTATTTATTGTCTGTCAGTTTTCCACATATTTCATCTGTATCCTCTTTTTCTGTATTATGGTTATTCTCTGCATAATTATTTTATCATTTCTATATATGTGAGGCATCGTGGTGAAATCAGGCACTCGTCAAGATAATAAAATCAAAGAAATCAGCATTTTTTGGTCTGATGGGCAATTTTTTTCTAGTTTTCTTTTTTTTGGGCTCAACACCTTTCATGTCCATTTATAAACACATTTTTGTGCGTATTTTACTGAAAAACATTGATCAAAGACACAAATAATGTAAATTTTCAGTTTTCAAGGACTCTAAGTCTAAGGCTATGGAAGTTACCAAACTTTGGCGGCTATTTTCTTGCTAATTTTACCTCTGAAGCCAAGCGACCCTGACCTCCTTCAATCGCAAATATTTCGACTTCTATTCAACATTGATGGATATTTTTGTCATCAAAAAGAAGACAAATGAACAAGCTTTAAGATGATACCAATAGAAGCATAAGCCCAAAAATTGACAAGCGCCTGATTCCACCATGTCGACGTGGTAGAATCAGGCACTCGTCAATTTTTGGGCATCTGGAGTTATTGGTATCATCTTGAAGTGGGTTCATTTGATCATTTTTAGATGAAAAAAATACACGCCTATCTCTTGAATAGAAGTCGATGTACTTGCGATTGAAGGAGATAGGGGTTGCCTGGTTTTAGAGGAAAATTAGCGAGAAAATGGCCGCCATAGTTTGGAGATTTTCAAAGCATGAGAGTCCTTGGAAACTGAAAGTTTTTCCTGCTTTGATAAATGTCTTTCAGTAAAATTCACACAGAAATAGGTTTTCACAAGGACATAGAAGGTGCTCAGCCAAAAAACAAAAATTAGAAAACAATTCCCAAACTTGGAGGCGGATATCTTCGATTTCATTTATTTTGACGTGCGCCTGATTTCACCACGATGCCTCACATGAGTTGAAAACAGGGAGAGGTCAGTCCAATTACTAAAGTTGTAATATTTTAGTCGTAGGTGTTATGAGGGTATGCAAGTCTAAATTTCCATACTTTCAACCCCTCGGAGTTGTGAAACTAGTTCCATTTTTCTTAGTGCAAAGTGAAACAGATTATATAAGGCATGCTCCAGGAACAATCTTGTGTGTCTCCTATGTACATCCTGCTCCCAGACCCCAAATTCTATTACCATTGGTACAAGATTGGATCGAGAATGAACTGTATTAGCATTTTTCCAAAAGACACAACTCTGGACGACAGTGCAGCAACTTGAACTCGCAACTTATTTTGAGTACAGAGGCCAACAATGTCCCTTTAACTAATTGATAAGTAATATCTGAACATCAAAACTAATTTCTTATGCACTTACTCAATAACCATCAAGAAGCAAAATCTGATATTGTACTTGGCTTTTCCAGGACATTCCCACATTCACCTCCATTCTAAAATATAGAAGGTCACAACTTCGACTTTTAATGCACTAGCCAAACTTACAGCAGCACAAACTGAATGCTTAAGCAGCCTGAACATTTGCTTGTCTCTATATCCAATCCAAGCTTTTTCAATCATCAAGGCAGCTGTTTGGTGAACGAGTCTGCAAAATTTGAAGAAGTAAATTAGATTCAGAGAGCTAAAATTTTAGCTTGCACGCAGAGCAGAAAGAAAATATTGTTTTATTGAATCTGGGAAAAAGTAGGAAAGAATTGTACATTTAATGGACTTCATATATATATAGATTCTAGATGAATAAATAAGTAGGGATACGATCTCCTCTTTTGTTTTTTTAATTCTCAGTCTCAGCACAAAGATTATGCAAGCATGATACAACATTCAACTCATACAATTTTCTTCAGCTTTATGTGTTCTCTTAGTTCCCACAAAGGCTCATGCCTCACACACACACAAAAAAAGGGTTCAAATCATTGGACAGAAACGAAATAGAGGAAGAACTAGTATCTTTGTTATAAATGCCTCCTGAACAATTAATGTGACCTACAGTGCTAATAAAATTCTGGCGTTTTTTTCGGTACTTTCCACCCCGCAATTCTTATTCGCCGGTTTTGGACCCAAGAGTAGCCAGGGGGGTTTCTGGGGGCCCCCCTTACCTAATAAAAATATGGTAGGGAGTTTCAGAGGGGCATCATGGCCCCCTGAATTTTATCATAATTTGATGTTTTACAGTTGTTAGGTTTAATATCTTATCTCGCCGCGCATCAAAAATATAGCCTATATCTAGATCTAGGCTCAAATAAGTGGGCATGGGAACTATCCGAAAAATGCACCAAAATTCTTACTCTTTTTCGTTTATTGTTCCATGATGCAAACTGTGAGATTCCGCCTCAGACAAAGTGTTCTTTGATATGTATGACGTTCTCGGTCCATGAGTGCCACATTCTGAGCCTGGAAAGTCAACAGACTGTGGTACCGATATTCTGCTCTCTGGCGTATGGGTTCCTTGACTCCTCGGTCCGACCTGACCTGGAACAATTTCTGATGGTATTTTTACATTGATAGAAGTCCGACTGGGAGATCGAAGTTCATTCTCTCGACTTCCTGTTCCACTCATCGTGTGGTATAATATTAGACCGTAGAGTTCTGATCAATATTTATAAGTCGCTCAAAGAACTAGAGCAAACCTACTTTCAAACTGAAAGATAATCTAACAAATGACTGCCATCTTGTATCCACTGAAAACAAAACAATATGCCAGGTAACCCAACGAGAGACTTCAAGGACTGTAATAATTAAATTTGTATAAAACACAACCCAAGCAGTGAATAATTCAAGTTTACATTACTTCCAAACAATATTTAATCAGTAAAAATATAATTATTTTTACTTCCTATCAATCATAGAGGTAGCAAAAGGTAACTTGATACGTTTTGTTTTATTTTTGTGAAAGCTCTACTGGCATATATAACTAATTCTTCAAATTTCGATTCTTCCTAAGTAAACGATTTAAAAAGTCTTGCCTTTGAACATGATGATTAATTTATATAACTGAAAAAAAATTGCAAGCTCATTTACAAACTTATTTTACTTTTAATATTTAAATATTTATAATTTTTCATCATCTTTACAGTATAAAAAAACCTAAAGTGTCACAACAATAAAATATCAAGAAGGTGATTATTTCCACGTCATGTTTTTAACAGTTTATCCTGCGCGTGCGCACTACTGAAATACCGAAATACGGTGCTGTGGCCGAGTGAAATAGTTGTTTACCCCAGTTACCGGTCTTCCTTTATTTTATTTTCAGTTCTGCATCTGTACCAGGGAATACTTTTTTCTTTGTGTATTCCAACAGTCAAGAAGCATGCGATTCAAAACAGCTCTTCAGAAGGAGCCAAAACATATCCTTGATTTTCAGTTTTTGATAACATAAATGGTTTTTAGATCTCAGACTCACTCTCTTTCCTCTTCTTGTAGTGTGTAGTGCATCTCTAGCCTCTTCTATCATCGTCTTTCTTATATTCTATGTTGTTATTTATTGTTGTTATCAAAATCAAGTCTATCTGTGTACGACATTATACGTAGTATTTAATACTAGCCATAACTTAGACTAGACTGATGATTTGTATGAATAGTATTAGTAGGCCTACACGATAAGTTTACTGCTAATAGATTTACTGCGAATAGAATAGATCTAGATTCGACTGTAGTAGGGCAGTAGGCCTTAGCCTTAAGTTTTTATGGGAGGAATTCTGTAACAAGCGACCACTATTTCATGACTAATATGAAATACATAAAGGGTTAGGGTAAGGCCAGGACTATGGTAAACGTTTAGAACACGTCTGCCGGGACATTTCAGTGACCCACACTCAGCACTTTTTAAGGACCCCCGAGCAAGTATTCGAGCTCAGAGTTCCTGCGTGCTGTCGGCATCGCTGAGCGTTATCACTTATGACGCCACAGCGCCAGAAGAGAGAGAGAGAGAGGGTGAATGTTTGGGTTGGGGTTAGATCCCTTCTTTATTGTGTCAGTTGGGGTGGTCACTCATTACAGAAGCACATTCCTCTAAATATACTTTAGTCTCTCTATAGAGATTTAGTAAGTCTGTTGACGAGACTTTGCTCTTTTGTTTTGTTGATTAGGTTGAAGTTGGAGGCCTACAAGTAAATGATGAAGAGGATGTTGACAATTTGGTAGACTGTACTGTTGATAGTAGTCTGAATTAAGAGTGTTTGTCATTGAGGCCGCTGAATTTAGATTCTTGTTTGTTATAGTCATAGAGGCTGATTCATGCTTAGCCTACTTATTTATTTAGCCTACTGAGAAGTTTTTAACCGAAGGGCCTTTTCCTTCTCATACAAAGTTATGTGTATTAACTCTTTGACTACCAAGGCGTTTTCCGCGCTGTGACCAAGGCATTTCTTAGTCTTAGAATTTCAGAAGTACCCCTGTTCTTCTTTTGTGTCTGATGGGCATAATTCCATCGGGAAGTCAGACATGTTATATACCAAAATGAAGGTAATTGAATGTAGAATATTTTTAATCTAATAAAAAAATTGAAAAAATCATAAATCCAAACAAACATGGGAGGTAAGTGAACACAAGGTGAAAAAAATTAAAAAATAAACAAAATATTTCAAACTTACATTTCTCACAGTGTATAGCTGCTAAATCCAATCACTTCATGACTTAGTCGTACTGAAGTATATTCAATTGTCTCTAACTGGGCCAAGTTTCATGCACAATGGTCAAGTATATACAAAGTTGTCGCACTTTTGGTGAAATCACTCACAATGAAAAACAGAGAAAAAAACGCTGCACACATGCCCCTCTTTGCGAATCTTCAATCTCATCGCTGTCGATGCTGTCCGACTCAGGTCTAACTTCATCACCTCCTACATCACTATCGGAAAGTACTGACAGTTCCCCATCAAACTTTTCCAGGGCTTTTGAAGCAGAAAAACGTTGTGACAGGGGGGAACCTGATGGGTTATCAGCCATTTTTCCGTTGCTTTGCGTGTAAATTAATTCGAGCAACATAGGGCGGGTAAAAAAAACAAGAAAAAATGCCAAAAAAACAGCAGAATAAAACACAAAAGGCGCCAAATTCCTTCACTGGTTGACTGATGTATAGTAAGCACAGCACTTAAAATCATGAAATGAAAAGGTTGAGTCAAATTGTGGAAGGGAAAGGGAAAGAAAAGCGCGAGCCGATAATTCGGCTTTTGGCCACGAACTAGGAGGTTATGGAGCCGATAGATCGACCCATGGTAGTCAAAGAGTTAAAAATGAAACCAACATAAAAATATTTTGTTCTACCACTATAGAGACTCTATATAAAATAGCTAACTCTTGTAATAGAAGGCAGTTGCTAATATTTTAACTCTTAGAATAATTGTTTTTGTTTTTGTAAAGTGTTTTACGGTGCTCGCAACTGCATAGGTCATATGAGCCCTCGGGACACACCTAATATTTTCAGTTGGTAGGAAATTTTGAATTTTGCCCGGGTGGCGGCCGAAGCCTACTCTTATCGATTTTAGACCACCAAGGGATCTTTAAGGTGCGCAACTTGCACACGGGCCCTCCGAGATTTTTCGCCCTTGTCCGAGAAGGCTAGGTGTAGATCTTTCAGAAGATCAGGGGTGTGGCAGAAAGACAGCAGTAAGGAGGAGCCAAGGAGTAGCAGTAGAAAGGCTGCAGAAAGAGTCAGGAGCCCAGAGGATGGGGCAAAGGAGGTGAAGGGGTGGAGGCAGAAAGTGGAAATGAAAGCAGACAACAGAACATTGCTAGAGAGCAGGAAAGGAGGTGAAAGGAGACAATTTTAGGGAAGAACATTTTTCGGTCGCTACCCGGATTCGAACCCGGGACCTTTAAATGAGAGGCCAACACCTAACCTCTAGGCCACGAGAGCCCCCCTCTTAGAATAAACAGAATAGAAAAACTTTGTATATATAACAAAAGGTAAGATTCTTTTTTTTTTAAGTGTCTCAAAACAGTGCGGCTTCAAGCATAGCTGGAATGCATGTCTTCAGTTAGTATGACCAATCAGCATTTAATGTATCTCTTTTATTTACTTTTAAACATTTCTGATTTCGGCAAGAACAGTGTCTACTCAAATTTTCTATAGTCTCCCGTACACAAAAATAAACTAATGGTCATGGAACTGCTGCAAATTATTAGACTTTCCTACTTTTTAAGATGGAAAAGAAGACAAAAATCGTTCTTTTTTACACTTTGCCATCACAAGGCTCATATAGTAAAAACTCTTGCCATCAAAGTCAAAGGCATTTTGGGGAAAATCCAAAGAAACTAAGTGGTAAACATCGCGATCGGCGAGATGTGACGGCAAAGTGTTAATAAAATCTGTTTTGTCAGTAAGTGTGATACTTCCCAACTATGACCTCTATGTGAGCCGAGGTAGCATAACCTCAACCCGCACACAAGTGGGAAACATTTTTTGTTAAAGTTATTGGCTTTTTGTCAGCATACTCTGCTTTTGGAAACAGCAACACCTACTTCCCCCTATAGCTTAAACATCAGGCACAAAAGTCAGTGGGTGATTGGCGGGTGCTCTGGTGTGGTTTATTCCTCCTTTCCTATCAAACATCTATCGTCCTCATCTCCCCTTCTTCTTTTTTATGTTTGTTACTCTCTTATAACTTCTCTACTCTTCTGGCGCTCATATGACCTTATGCAGTTGCGAGCGCCGTAAAACCTCTACTAAAACTAAAAAAGTCTAGCTCTTGTGCTTAGGTTGTGAGCAAGAGTCAAATGTGTTGTATGTATGGTTGTTCCCTTAACTTTTCAAACATTCTGAACTGGTGAGTTGTGTGGGATGGACAACACCAGATGAAGTCTACTCAAGCGCTGATGACCACCACATCATCAAGTGGAACCTCACAAACAACGAGACTGCTACTCTGCTAGAACTACCAAAAGAATGTTTTCCTACGAGTATGCATTGGTTCCCCAAATCTGCTCAAAGTGGTGCTGGCAAAAAGGCTGGTTCCGATGTCTTTGTTCTCACGTCAACAGATGGTACGATTTATTATTGGGTTTTTTTTAGCTGAAAATTCTTTGTTATCGAAATATAATATATTATGATAAAGAATTTCGAAATGATCAGAGTGATATCAAGTGTTAAATAGATGAGACTAGGACTAGGTATTTATAAGTGAGGTTTCGGTTTTATTTTCTTACCCAAAGAAACAGACACCTTAAGATTTAGTAATAATTTCCTTTGCCTTTGTTTGTTAGAAATGTGTAAGATATACTAGAGAATATAATTTGTGATGATAGTGTTCATGATTATCCTACTAAAAGATTCAAGAAAGGTAAAAAAATAAATTATTTTAATCATAAAGTAGAGAAAGCTATAAATAACGCTGTCATTATACTTAAAAGCTCCAGTCTATAACACGTTGTTCTCATATTGTTTTCAGGCAAGTTTCACCTGATCAGTCGCACGGGAAGAATTGAAAAAAGCACAGAGGCTCACAAGGGAGCGGTTTTGTGTGGGCGATGGAGCTACGATGGAACAGCTCTTCTGACGGCAGGGGAGGACGGACAAGTGAAGACCTGGTCCCGAAGTGGAATGCTACGCTCGACTCTCACACAAAACAGTAAGAACGACGTGATGTTGCTTCTGAACTCTGTCTTCTACTGTGTTTTGCCTATTCATGATTTTTTTAGAAAATCAGGTTCAAAGTTTAACACAGAAGTAAAATTAAAATAAAGTTAATTAGAATCTCCAAACATGTACCAAGAAAGAGTTTTTCTAAGGACTTAGCATTTGTTGATGTGAGCTTTTTGAGATATTTCTATATATCTACTATTTTGTGCCAGTAAGGTACTCACTTTTCCTTTTGGTAAATTGTTTCTTCCTTAACCAAGGAAGTGCCAGGTAGCTTGAATTTGAAAAAAACACAGAAAGTTTAACAGAATATGTAAAAAAAAAAAAAAAAATTACTTAGGTATGTTAGTGTTGAAAAAAAGATATTTTCATTTCTTATATTTCATCTGAAGTAAAAATGTGGGTGATATTTTTTTGATATTCCTGGATTATGGAGAAGAGAAGAGTACAGTTAGTGTAAGTGAACAAATGATAGTAAAGTGTAGATGAAGTCAGCCGTACCATGTACTTTTCCCCACAGGTATCCCGGTATACAGTGCAGCCTGGGGTCCGGATTCAGACCAGGTTCTCTTCACTAACGGTCGGCAGTTGGTGATCAAACCTCTACAGGCTAACGCCAAACCTCAGATGGTGAGATCATTACAGTGGGGTGAAGGATATTAATTAATTAAGTAATATTAATTTCACAAAATATCTTTCACATGGCTTTTGCTCATTTTTGAAAAGAAAGAAAGACATGTTCGCCCTGCAGCTTGGCGTTCATGCGACCTTATGCAGTTGCGAGCGCCGTAAAACCTTACTAAAACATTAAACAAACATCCTGCAGCCTCTGTGACATTTGTGATGATGACCTTCTCTGTCCAAAAGTTACTGAGTGCATAGAGCTATAAGTGCTGGTCTTGCTTATGTAATTGTAAAGGAGCCTTTAGACATGTGCTTGTTTATTCGAATGATCATGGTCAGGTGTGCGCGATTGATCCTAAGGGAGAAATTAATTTTGTCTCTTGAAACCCCCTCAGCTTTGAGGCAAACTGTGAACTTTGACCTCTGATATCATGAGACAGTGAAAGGTCTTGTCAGTTTGTTAGTGTTTGAACGCTTAACACGCTGCTTGCACTGTATGCTTCCCGGGAAGCTGAGAATGTTTCTGAGTGTTCTATGGTCTGCTGGGGTAATAATATAGTGTAAAGCACATAGAGCTTGCTTTTGAGCGGGGACATGCACTATGCAAATGCTATTTATTATTTATTATTATTGTGTTTCAGTGGAAAGCTCACGAAGGAATAGTTTTATGTGTGGACTGGAACCACGTGAACAACCTGATCCTGTCTGGAGCTGAGGACAAGAGATATAAGGTACAAGTTTGCACAAAATGTACGTCACTAGGTCCTTGTCTTTGGTCAATGCCTAAGCTCTTATGCCATGTGCCAACACCTCCCCCCCCCCCACACACACACACCAACCAGGGCAGTGCTACTGCTGATTGAAGTTGTCTTCAGGCCATTCCCTAAGGGGGGATATTAACATCATTTTCTTAATCACAGTAGAGTTATAAATGTGCTGACTTATCAATGTCATGCCAATGCTGTACTGGAACAACATAGGGGGAACTGCTGCTTTTTCTTTCCACATTTTTATTATCGTTTTTTTTCCCCTCTACTTCTTTTGTATGTCTGTTACTCTCTTGTGAACTGCTATTTCCGGGGTGCTTTGATAGTCGATGCAGACTTTTGAGGCTAGAGAGGTGAGCAGAGTAAGCCTGATTCCCTGTTTAGACTTCTCTGTTGACATCCACCCCTGTGGCACTCATATGACCTTATACAGTTGCGAACGCCGTAAAACCAAACTGAAGTGGTTGGTTGGCGGGTGCTCTGGTGTGGTTTGCTTAATCTTTCCTATGAAACATCTATAGTCCTTATCTCCCCTTCTTCTTTTTTATGTTTGCTACTCTCTTGTAACACCTCTAATCTTCTGGCGCTCATATGACCTTATGCAGTTTCGGGCGCCGTAAAACCTCTACTATAACTAACTAGTTACTATTTTCTTGTGCGTCTGGCCTGCAGGTGTGGGACACGTACGGTCGACTCTTGTACAGCAGCAGTGGCCACGAGTACCCCGTCACTGCTGTCAGCTGGACACCAGACGGTGAGATGTTTGCCGTTGGCTCCTTCAACACGCTGCGCCTCTGCGACAGTAGTGGGGTAAGTGTCTTTGTCTTTTCCCTAATGATGTTAACCACAATTTTACTCTGGCATTGATCAGAATACAAGGACATGTGGTTACTTGAGGGAGGCATTGCGCTGCCAAGAGCGAAATGCTCGCAGCTAATGGGATTTGAAAACAACAACAACCACAACCACAATTTTAAGTACAAAAGAAAAGGAATATGTGAGGCATCGTGGAGAAATCAGGCACTTGTCAAAATATTGAGATCAAAGGAATCTGCATTTTTATGGTCAGTGAGAAATTTTTTTCGAATTTTCTTTATAGATGGGTACTTTTCCACTAAAACCAAGATAAATGAAAAAATTGACGAGAACATAATTCCACCGCGTCGTGATACGTATAGAACTGATTAGACAAGAGGGGATGGATGAATAAGAAATGTAACGACTTGTTTCTCTAGTCTGAATTAATTTTTGCTGCCTGTGTACTTTGGTGAAACATCATCCTCACATCTATTACAGCAAGTACGATGTTAGTTTTTTTTCTCCAAAATAAATAGAGTGGTTTCTGTATAACGGAAAAGCTTTGGTCTCAGAGTGGCAAAAATGAATATAATGGAAGAGTACTCAAAGTTTGAATTGAACATAATTAAGTCTTTGGTCTGTTTTTATGAAAAGTCAAAAGTTTATATCAACTTGTTACTCTGCCGTGAAGGAATTTTTATTTCAACAACTTTTACTTCACTTGAACACAAAAGGGTAGGCTGACTTGTAATTCCAATTTTTAGTGGTTTTGTCCAGCTTGCTTTCTTTTAAATATTTTTTCGTCTTACACTTGGATCAGGTGTCCCACCTTTATCTGTTCCTAGACTAGTGCCTACTCAATGCGAATAAATTTATAGGTCTTTGTTGGGTTTATTCTGACTTTCTCTTCTTTTCAGTGGTCTTATGCTTTGGAAAAACCCAACACGGGCAGCATTTTCAGCCTGGCCTGGTCAAGTGATGGCACCCAGGTCGCTGGTGCCTGCGGCAACGGTCAAGTCATTTTTGCCAATGTGATAGAGAGGTGAGCAACGTTCAGTTGGGTGGAGACATCATCTTGATTTGGGCTTTTAACCCTATCGGTACACCCTGGGGTCATTTTGTACCCCCGGGGTTGTATTCTTCACATTTTAGAATACTTCTAGTACGAAGATCTCTTTGAAACTTTCAGTATTTCTCATAAAATCATTTTGACAGACTGCTATGGAATGCGTACGGATCGGATTATCGAATAAATTTCCTCTTTGAAAGTGGTGGCACTGAGTTCCCCACGTCGTATGGATATGATAGTAAAACACGACGTACGGATAGAGTTAAGTCTTCATGATCACTAACCTAAATTCATTAAGTTTAAATTTATTTTTAGCTTAGAATATAAATTTGCTTTTTATTTAGTTATGTATAAGGGAAAAATTTTATATGTTTTTAAATCCTTATGTTAAAATATATTTTTCAAGATGGAGTTGCTACTCATTTTCCATATTAAAGTGCCCATAGTGACTGTAGGATCTTGAAAACCTAATTTTTTTTTTGGAATGGACTGTTTCAAAGGTGCATCTTATTTTATATTTTCTTTTACCTTTTCCAAGTTCCTGAAACTGCTCCGATTCTGTATTTTATCTGTGCTTTATTAATGTTCAGGTGGATGCTCGGTGTGCTCTGGTGTGGTTGGTTTGCTCCTTCTTTCGCATCAAACATCAACCAACCTTTTCTCTCCTCCTTCTTTTTTTTTTTGTATTTTACTATCTAGTAGCACCTTTCATCTTCAGCATTTATATGACTTGATTATGTACAGCAATTGCTGCAAAACTCATACGTGGATGGTTTGCGGGTGCTCTGGTGTGGTTTGCTTCTTCTTTCATATCAAACATCTATCATCCTTATCTCCCCTTTTTCTTTTTTCTTTTTGTTACTCTCTTGTAACACCTCGAATCTTCTGGCGCTCATATGACCGTATGCAGTTGCGAGCGCCGTAAAACCTCAACTAAAACTTTGTTTAAAAACTCACACTAAATTATTTTTTTCCCGCTGAACAGACGGTTAGAGTGGAAAAATTACGAGGCTAGTGTGACTGCCAGCAAGCAAATCCAAGTGAGGAACGTGATGAACGACACCACGGAGAAGCTGGACTTCCGCGACCGGGTCATCAAAGTGTCGCTGGGCTTCAACCACCTGGTAGTGGCCACCTCCTCGCAGTGCTACATCTACAGGTCAGTGAGTGAGCACCTGGGTTGACCAGATGGACAACTCATCTCCTTTTTTTAAATAGGGATTTGACAATGACAGTCTTTATTCATCTCGCAAGGAGAAAGTTGGTCGTTAACAATGGCAGTAGATGTTGTACGAAGATGAGGTACACTCTCTCTCTCTCTCTCTCTCTCTCTCTCTCTCTCCCTCTCCCTCTCCCTCTCCCTCTCCCTCCTTTCCTCCCTCCCTCCCTCTCATTTGTAGCACTGTGTGTTCAGTAACCTCACTGCAGTTGGTACGAATGAATTTCTATACCTGTCTGTTCTTTCTTTTTTGGAAATGTATTTGATAGCTTAGAAAAAACATTGGTGTGGCGTCGTGGTGAAATCAGGCGCTCGTCAAAATAATGAAATGAAAGAAACTGACTTTTTCTGCTCGTTGGCCACATTTTATGAAATTACAAATTTTTTTGTGGTCTTAACACCATTTAAACGCACATTTCTGTGTTGATTTGAAGGAAAAAGTTGATAAAAGGCACCAGAAATGGTAAATTGTTGTTTCCAAAGACACTCAAGATTTGAAAGTCACCAAACTTTGGCGGTCATTTTATTGTTATTTTTACCTCTGAAACCAGGCGAGTTAAAAAAAAAAAAATTTTTTTTGCTGTAATGAATGTGGGTGCTTAAGTATATTGTTTTTATTTAGTTTCAGCGTTTTTGTCGTTCAAATCTGTTCTTGTTCACATGTGACCATCTCTGTGACAATGTGCTGAAAGTTACAGTTAATCTTTATTGTGTGGAATATAGGATGTAGTTTAATAAATATGTGATGAATCATAGTGAAATCAGGCGCTCGTCAAAATAATGAATTCGAAGGAAACAGCATTTTTCTTCTCATGTGGCAATTTTTATCATTATTTATTTTCTTTGGCTCAACAACATGTATGTCCATTTAAAGTACATTGCTGTGTGGATTTTATCATAAAAAATGGATTAAAGTTTAAAGGTACACAATATGTAAATTTTCAGTTTCCAAGGACTCTCAAGCTTTGGAAATCATCAAGCCTTGGAAGCCCTTTTCTCGCTAATTTTGTCTCTGAAACCATATGTCCCCACCTCCTTCAATCCGAAGCATCTCCACTTCTATTGAAGACAAACGGGTAGTGTTTTCATCTAAAGCAAGACAAAAAGACAAATAAACACGCTTTAAGATTATACCAATAACTCCATATGGCCAAAAATTGACTGGCGCCTGATTCCACCGCGTCGTGACAAATATGGAAACTGACTTAAAGGACTACCTTTTCATCTTTGTATTGGCAGCACCAAGAACTGGAACACACCCATGATCTTTGATTTGAAAGAAGGAAGTGTAACTTTGATCAAGCAAGCTGAGAAGTGAGTTTGTTTTTCTATTCTGTGAATAAATAATGTGCTGCTATGATAACAAGAATTTTTTTACAATGCTTAGACTTGTTTGTGGTGGCTCTCTTTCCTTTGCATCGAGTTTGTAGCTGGTGGATTCCTCTTTCATAGAGATGAAGGTTCATATCTTGAAGAAATTAACCATGTTTCCAGAGCTACTCATATATGGTTTAACACTTCTGTTAAGCATTGTGTACATTGGCACCTTCTATCATCATCATCATCCAGTGCCAGATCTGCGACAGACATCGGCGATCGTGGTTCTCCTTTCATTCCTTTGCTCGGATGCTCATAAAAAAGCTATGTTTCCCTGCTCTTTCCCTGTCACCCACTTGTTCAGGTTCCCCAAGTAGGTTGCTCTGGGCCTACCCCTGCCTTGCTTGCCCTCAATCTTGCCAGTGAGAGCTAGATGTTCAAGACCCATATGTCTATTCAGGTGTCCTAAAAACGTGATCATGGAAATTCCTTTCCTTTCACTTTTTGGTTTTCTGTAGATCAAGGTGAATTTCTTTTACAGGAGCTTTCACAAATTGCACATGGTCCTATGCTATGCAATCCACAGTGAACAAACAGCTTAAGTGAAATTTTAAAGTTCTCCTTCGAGTATTGGAATGCCTGAAATAACTTGGATTTGAAAATATTTCAGGCATTTTCTGTTGGTGGACGGTACTGGTGTGTACGTGTTCTCTTACGATGGTCGGCTGGTGTGTACACCTCGCTACCAGGGTATGAAGGCGGACATTTTGAACCAACAGACGATAGCGCTCAGCAATGACACTGTGGCCATCAGGGACAAGACGGATGAAAAAGGTGAGAGAGAGAGAGAGAGAGAGAGACTTGATCCTTCGGGGAACAGATCTGGTACTTTTATCACTTTTTCTTTAAAGTACGGTGAAACTTTACTGTAATGTGCCCAGATTTCCTTGCATCGTCTTCCTCATATTTATTTTCACATCCATATGCCTGCATGCACTCACACACACACAGACACACACACACAGACACACACAGACACACACACACACACACACACACACACACACACACACACACACACACACATAAGCAGACACATGCATGCACTCTCTTACACACTCATTCACACTCCACACACACACTTCACTCACCCACATACACCCTAACAGCGTACCAAAAAATCACTCTCAAACAGCCTGCACTGAGAAGAATAAAGCATGCTATAATGCATCAAAGCAATGTTCACTTTTTTATGTTTCATCTTCATAGTGTGCAGTTATCATAGAATGATTCTTAACACTTTGCCCCCTCATCTCGCCGATCAGCGATATCTACCACCCAGTTTCTTTGGATTTTTCCCATATTGCCTTTGCCTTTGATGGCAAGAGTTTTTGCTATATATCTGTCCCCGTCGAGTTATGCAAGAAAAATTCTGAAATTATGCAAAATGATGCGATTCTGTTAATTTTAACAAAGAATGATAAAGGAAAATAATCCGAAATTATGCAAAAAAATTATCAAATTTTGCTAAATTATGTGGGGTGCATAAAACCACGGGGACAGCTATATGAGCTTTGTGATGGCAAAGTGTTTAACACTTAAATGTGACTGGAAGATTTCTGAAAAGCCCAAATTTTGGTATATCTTTTACTGTGTTTGTGTTTTAACCTTTTTTTTTTTTTAAAATTCTTTTCTAGTCGTGTACGTGTTTGATGCTCAGACTGGGAAGACCATGGGTGATGGAAAGCCGATTACACACAAGGTAAGTCTCTCTTTACACTTCCTATGCCATATAAAGTGCTATGTTCCTTTTATATTCTTTACATTGCTTTTGTTGTCCATATGTGCTCTGAGGTGTAATGATTAAGCCCGTCATGGTTGCTCACAGAAGACACAAGATGTAATTACCTCTCCCTGTACTTTTTATTCGCTCCCTCCTGCCTCTGATAATTTCTCTCACTTTATAATGATAATGATAAATGCATTTATTTGATGAAAATTGCATTTATGTAACATATATATATTCTATACTCTACAGCATGTGGTCTTTTATTGAGTATATTAGTCTATCTGCTGGGATGTTGTTTAGCTGTCAGCCAAGGTTAGCCTTTTCAGTTCAGGCAAGGTCGAAGCAGCTTGCCTCCTGAATGGTCTAAATTGGTCGCTTTTAAGCACAAGGGGTTATCCCATAAAATGCTGTTTTTTGAAAATCGAAGGTAAAGTTTTTGGATCCTTATTCAGTTTCTTGAAAAGACAAGGAGAGTTTTCTCTATAACCAAACAAATATACTCACCAATAAAACCAAACTTCTCCTATAAGTAGGGCAATGCCCACTTTTGGTGTAGATCAAGATTTCTGGAAACCCCCGAAAGCTGGGTTAGCTCGCTTGTCCTTAAAAGCGACCAATTGTGTCCATCTGGGTGCAAAACACTAACACTATCAGTGTGTGAGATGTTTCACGGTTCTGCTCTCATGTGTGCCCAGGTGGAGGTGATGGACATTGGCCTTGACCAGTGCGGCATCACGGCCGAGCGACGGATCACGCTGGTGGACAAGAACCGCGACCTCTTCCTCACCTCCGTCAGAATATTTGGCGCAGAACGGAAAGTCATCAAGCTTGGTGAGTGGGTTTTCTTTTTTGTGTTTACTTGTCGTATCTGTGTTTGTGTTTGTGTGTCGATTTGTGTGGGCCTGTGAGCATCAGTGATTTGTTTGTTGCAGTTTTTTTTGTGTATTTGTGTGTGTGTGTTTGTGCGTGTGTGTGTGTGTGCGTATGTGTGTGTGTGTGTGTGTGTGTGTGTGCATGTGTGTGTGTGTATGTGTGCATGTGTGTGTGTTTGTGTGTGAACAAGTGTGTTTGTATGTTTGTGCACAATAGTAGTGATGGTGAAATAATAATAAATCAGGACTACAAGAAAACTGAGGGAAAATTTTATCTGTGTCTTATGCATCTCATAGACAGCACAAGGTATTTGAGGGTTGGTGGTTGGCGGGTGCTCTGGTGTGGTTTGCTTCTTTTTTTCCTATCGAACATCTATCGTCCTGATCTCTCCTCCTTCTTTTTTATGTTTGTTACTCTCTTGTAACACCTCTAATCTTCGGCACTTATATGACCTTATTGTGTTGCAAGTGCTGTAAAACTCTTACTGTAACTAAAACTAAAAAGGTATTTGATAGGTGGTGTCTTTGGGTCTTTGTTTGTTTCTAACGTGGCATGACGTGGAAATTACTTTGTAGTGATGTTGGTTGCTTGAAATACAAGTGTGGTACGGTAGTTTATATTTAAGTCATGTGACTTGTTTTTCTGAAGAAGAACGAGAAAGAGAAAAAAGAGTAGAAAAAGAAAGAAAGAGAAAGAAAAAGAAAAAAAAGAGGTGAAAAAGGAAGAAAAAGAAAAAGAAAGAAAGAGAAAAAAGGGGAGAAAAAGAAATAAATAGAAAAAGAAAGAAAGAGAAAAAAGAGGAGAAAAAGAAATAAATATAAAGAGAGAGAAAGAACAACAAAAAATAAAATATTCTGTCTTTCCCCAGCCAACATGATCCAGGCGCATGCGTGGAATGATGAGACAAACATGCTGGCCGCCATGACAGACGGCAAAATCCTGGTGTGGTACTATCCTAACGCTGTGTATGTGGACAAGGATTTGCTGCCTCGTACACTGTATGAAAAGGACACCAGGTGGGTGGCTCTTCATGATAACTGTCCCCGTTGTGTTAAGCAAGAAAAATTCTGAAATTATGCAAACTGAGTCAAAAAATGTGAAATTATGCGATTCTGTTAAATTTAACAAAGAATGATAAAGGAAAATAATCAGAAATTATGCAAAAAATGATCAAATTTTGCTAAATTATGCGGGGTGCATAAAACCACGGGATGTAGTAGGTAGAGAAGGGTTTTTATTGGTACTTAAAGCTGGAGATTTTTTGGATTTGGGGATTGTCAATGACATTATTTTAAGTTATAATCCCGGTTTGGCATTATTTAATTAGATAATAATTACCATATTGGTTGCAAAGTTTTAGGCTTTGACTTAAGCTTTTAAAAAATTTCAAGATGTTACAAGTTTTTCTATTTGTGATATGTTTAAATTTGAATTAAGAATCTTGTGCTTAATAATGATAATATCTGCCATATATATAATTTACATGTTTGTTTACTTTCTCTTTCACCTGGAATCTGCAGTGAGTTTGGCAAGGCGCCCCAGCTTGTAGACTTTCTGGGCAGTCACCTTATCCTGAGGAGGGCCGAAGGATCTCTCATCTCTACCACCATCTCCCACTACCCGTCAGTACTGCACAGTTTTGTCATGAACGGCAAGTGGGACGACGCTGTCAGACTTTGTAGATTCGTCAAGGTGAGGGTGGATGCTAATGATGATTGTAATAATAATAGATAGCATTTGTATAGCGCAAATCCCCGCTCAACAGCAAGCTCTATGCGCTTCACAATCTATACTATTACCCCAGTGGACCTGAGAGCATTCTGAAACAAAATCAACTTCCTGGGAAGCATACAGTGCAAACGGCCATTTATAGGCGCTAAAACACTAACATACTGACAATATCTTTCGCTGTCTATGGCTGGGTACTCATTCCCACCTGGGTGAAGTGAGGAACGGGCCCGCAGCTCGAACCCCTGACCCCGCAACCTCTCGATTATGAGTCCGGTAGCCTAACCACTAGGCCACTGACGCCACACAGGAAAGATACTTGGTATCTTTACTTGGTTGTGTAGATTTGTCAAGTGAGGGTGGATGCTAATGCACAGGAAAGATACTTGGTACCTTTACTTGGTTGGAGAATAGGTATTATCGCAGGCGGCACATTGTCCTTCCTGCTCGTCCCTGCGGGTCTCAACTCAGAATTTTAAAAAAGGAGGAACTTTCCGCGTGATCGCGACAGAAGAGAATTTTCACGAGACACCCATTATTATTATACTGTTTAACTCTAGAATGCAGAAATAAAAACCACCAACTTATCATGGCAAGGTTTGAGGTCATACCAGTTTGAGGATTTGGAATTTAATTTCAGGTAAAAGAGTCACTTACCAAATATTTACAATTATGTACAGAAAGTGGTGGGCACATTACTGGGAGGTGTGCCCCCTCCCAGTAACTCTCTTCACTGGTGACTGTTCTTCACCAGTTTACCAGAGGAAATGACAGTAGTGGAAATCTGCCATATATATATATTTTTTAGTTCATTTTATGTAGCTCTCAGAATTTTGTTTTATGATTTCCTGATAATTTGTGTAGAATTTTCCTGTCTCTGGCAACCTTATTTAGAGATTTGTGTAGAATTTTTTGTCTCTGACAACCTTTTTTTAGAGATTTGTGTAGAATTTTCGTGTCTCTGACAACCTTTTTTTTAGAGATTTGTGTAGAATTTCCCTGTCTGTGACAACTTTTTTTTAGAGATTTGTGTTTTTTGTTTTAGTAGAGGTTTTATGGCGCTCGCAACTGAATACGGTCATATGAGCGCCAGAAGATTAGAGGTGTTACTAGAGAGTAACAAACATAAAAAGAAGGAGGGGAGATAAGGACAATAGATATTTGATAGGAAAGAAGAAGAGATTTGTGTAAAATTTTCCTGTTTCTGACGAAAAGGTAGAATTTTCCTGTCTCTGACGACCTTTTAAAAAAATTTTTGTGAACGGTTGCAGGAGGAGAATCTCTGGGCATGTCTTGCTGCCATGGCAACGTACGCCAAAGACCTGAACACAGCTGAGGTGGCTTATGCTGCGATCAAGGAGGTAAGTTTTGTCTTTGTCAAGAGTTTTATATGGCACTTGCAACATAATAAGGTCATGTAAGTGCCATAGGTTAAAGGTGCTACTAGAGAGTAATAAACACGAAAAAGGAGGAGAGTTATAGACGATAGATGCTTGAGAGGAAAGAAGTATTAAACATCACTAGAGCACTCACCAACTACCCACTAGTGAAGCAAGGAGGTAAACTAACTACAAGAGCATGCTTGTTTCCTGCCTTGACTTCGTGTGCAACATGGTATGTGATGCTTTATCATAGTTGGATTTGTGCTTTCAGCGAGTGAATAATTAAATGCACCCTGTTTGTATTCTAGCAGTATGGGCCAGTTGTTGATGCTCCGGTGTGGTTTGTTTCTTCTATTTCAATATAAATTTTGCAGTTATCCTGATCCCCTTCATGTGGGTGGTTGGTGGGTGCTCTGGTGTGGTTTGCTTCTTCTTTCCTTTCAAACAACTATCGTCCTTATCTCCCCTTCTTCTTTTTTTATGTTTGTTACTCTCTTGTAACACCTCTAATCTTCTGGCGCTCATATGACCTTATGCAGTTGCGAGCGCCATAAATCCTCTACTAAAACTAAAACTAAAGAGAGTGAATAATTAAATGCACCTTGTTTGTATTCCAGCAGTATGGGTGAGTTGATGATGCTCTGGTGTGGTTTGTTTCTTCTATTTCATTATCAGTTTTGCGGTTATCCTGATCCCATTCATTCATAGTGAAATGGTATCTGTTGCAAATTTTGAGAAAAGCTGCTTTGAATATGACCGATGTGTGCCACAATGAACTCATACAAAAAGAAATGATCGCTTTTAAGGACAAGCGGGCTAACCTAGATTTCGGTGGTTTCCAGAAATCTTGGCCTACATCAAAATTGGGCATTGCCTTACCTATAGCTGTCCCTGTGGTTTTACGCGCCCCGCATATTTTAGCAAAATTTGATCATTTTTTGCATAATTTCTGATTATTTTCCTTTATCATTCTTTGTTAAAATTAATAGAATTGCATAATTTCACATTTTTGGGCTCAGTTTGTATAATTTCAAAATTTTTCTTTCTTAAAACGACTTGGACAGCTATAGGAGAAGTTTGGTTTCATTGGTGTGTGTATTTGCATGGTTATAGAGAAAACTCTCCTTGTCTGAACAAGGGGCAAAAACTTTACCTTCGATTTTCTCAAAACAGTATTTTTCGGGATAGCCCCCTTGTGCTTAAACGCGACCAGATAAGCTGAGCCAAGAGCTGTCATAATCATAATCTGTGTGCTTGCATGTGTGTGTGTTGTGTTCTCCAGGCCGACAAGGTTCAGTTCATCATCAACATCAAGGACATCCCCGTGAAGGAAGCGCGGAACGCTGAGATGGCTCTCCTGTGCGGGAACCAGCAAGACGCCGAGGCCATCCTGCTGCAGGCGACCCTCACCTTCCGCGCTATCATGCTCAACGTACAGCTCTACAACTGGGACAGGTGGGGGGCTCGCTGTTTGCTTGCTTTTGGTTTTGTTTTTCAAGTGGTTTTTCTTTGTTTGTTTTTTGCTTGGTTGGTTTTTGTTGGGTTTTTTTGTTGTTGTTGTTAATAATAATAATAATATAATAATAATAAATTGCATTTATATAGCGCATTTCCACAAAGAAGTGCTCAATGCGCTGTACAATAATACAAAGAACGTATGAAGTGCACAGCTCCTATAGTAATCCTCTCTGTCTCTCTCACTCTGTCTCTCTCTCACTCTGTCCCTCTCTCTCTCTCTCTCTCTCTCTCTCTCTCCCTCTGTCCCTCTCTCTCTCTCTCTCTCTCTCTCTCTCTCTGTGTCTCTGTCTCCCTCTGTGTCTCTGTCTCCCTCTGTGTCTCTGTCTCCCTCTGTGTCTCTGTCTCTCTCACTCTGTCTCTCTCTCACTCTGTCTCTCTCTCTCTCTCCCTCTGTGTCTCTGTCTCCCTCTGTGTCTCTGTCTCCCTCTGTGTCTCTGTCTCCCTCTGTGTCTCTGTCTCTCTCACTCTGTCTCTCTCTCACTCTGTCTCTCTCTCTCTCTCCCTCTGTGTCTCTGTCTCCCTCTGTGTCTCTGTCTCCCTCTGTGTCTCTGTCTCTCTCACTCTGTCTCTCTCTCACTCTGTCTCACTCTCTCTCTCCCTCTGTGTCTCTGTCTCCCTCTGTGTCTCTGTCTCTCTCTATCTCCCTCTGTGTCTCTGTCTCCCTCTGTGTCTCTCTCTCTCTCTCTCTCTCTCTCTGTGTCTCTGTCTCCCTCTGTGTCTCTCTCTCCCTCTGTGTCTCTGTCTCCCTCTGTGTCTCTGTCTCTCTCTCTCTCTCTCTCTGTGTCTCTGTCTCCCTCTGTGTCTCTGTCTCCCTCTGTGTCTCTGTCTCTCTCTATCTCCAGTACATTCTTGAGTAAAGACAAGTTTTTGTTTGGTTGGTTTATTTTTTGTTTGTTCGTTTTTTTTTTTTTGGGGGGGGGGGGAAGGGAGAGGGTCATGAAGTCTGTGATATATTCATGTAGAAATGTGTGTCACTTTTTGTGCTGGTGGGAGAAATCCTTCAAAAGTCATCCAAGTCTTTTGTAGTTGATACTGGAGGGAAGGTTTTTGAAGATGGACTACGTGGGCAGTATATGGTTTGCTGGCCCGGTGTGAAATACTGTAGGAAGGGTGTGAAATTGAGAAAATTTCGGCCCTCAATTAAATTCTCCTTAAAGGACACGAGGTGCTCATGCACATTTTTTTTTCCCACTGGTCTGTTCATTTGTGGCCCAATGCAGGTTTTTTAGGAGTGTTGCGGGTGGTTGGCGGGTACTCTGGTGTGGTTTGCTTCTTCTTTCTTATCAAACATCTATCGCCCTTATCATCTCCCCTTCTTCTTTTTTATGTTACTCTCTTGTAACACCTCTAATCTTCTGGCGCTCATATGACCTTATGCAGTTGCGAGTGCCGTAAAACCTCTACTAAAACAAAACAAAACTGACCTAAGTGTGATGATAAAGCTGTAAAAGTCTTTCTAAAAAAACACCACAAAAAAAAACAACAAAAAATGAATACAGTAGTAGGATCTAACAAGTGTTTTGTGAATCATGACAGGGCACTTGAGCTGGCGGTGAAGCACAAGACTCACGTGGACACGGTGCTGGGCTACAGGCAGAAGTTCCTGGCTCGCTTTGACAAGGAGGAGACCAACAAGAGGTTCCTGCAGTACAAGGAGGGGGTGAGTGTGGAGAGAGGGACTGTGTGTGTGTGTGTGTGTGTGTGTGTGTTTGTATGTGTGTGTGTGTATGTGTGTTTGTATGTGTGTGTGTTTGTGTGTATGTGTGTGTGTGTGTGTGTTTGTATATAATATGTATGTGTGTGTGTGTGTGTGTTGATGTGGGTGGTTGGCGGGTGCTCTGGTGTGGTTTGCTCCTTCTTTCCTATCGAATATCTGTTGTACTTATCTCCCCCCTTCCTTTTTTGTATATATATATATATATATATATATATATATATAATATTACTCTCTTGTAACACATAATCTATTCTTCGGCACTTATATGACCTTATTGTATTTCAAGTGCAGTAAAACTCTCACTAAAACTAAAACACGTTGATTGATTTTGTTCGCCCTTCTTGTCTGTCATCAGATTGACGTGGACTGGGACAACATCAACAGCAAGATCGAGATGGAGTATCAGAAAGAACGGGAACGGCCGTCCGGTGGAGGATCCTCTGCTGTCTCCGGAGGTCACAGTCGCGTCGGGCAAGCTGCCGTCTGAGCCCCAGCCCCGGCCGTGTGTGGTGGATACAGTCTAGCACTCATGTAGTCAACACACACATAGTGAACGCCCACATAGTCAATGCACACGCAGTTAATGCACACATAGCCAACATACCCACAGTGAACATGCACAAAGCCAGCTCACACATAGCAAACACACACACAGCCAACACATGCATCCCCAACACATACATCGCAAACACACATATAACCAACACACACAGCCAATTCACCCATAATGAACATATTTCAGGTCCTGAATTTTTTTTCTATCTTGTTATATATATACTTTGTACATACATGGTGAAATTTGTATGTAACGAAACTATTTCTGCATCCAGGGTATATCGCTGCGTGTGTGCTAGACTGTATTGACTGTTTCATAGGGCAGTAGGGACGGACTTGTCAAAGGCTCATTTGTTTTAAGACTGCTTGCTCTGGGCTAACTGTGAGCTTTCCGATGATCATGTGTCTGTGAATGGAGGGTGGACTTCCTTTACCATCGAAGTGATTTTTTTAAACGTGGTTTTGTTCTCCGATTAATTCATGTTGTCTTAGTGCCTTCATGGTCAGATGGCCAGAAGGATCCATCTTAGCAATATTCTGTCCCCAAGGGTTTATGCAAAAAAAATTATGAAATCATGCAAACTGAGCCTAAAAATGTAAAATTACGCGATTCTGTTAATTTTAACAAAGAATTATTTAAGGAAAATAATCAGAAATTATGCAAAAAATTATCAAATTTTGCTAAATTATTCAGGGTGCATAAAACTTCGGGGACAGAATATTCAGCCGGGAAGGCCAACTCAAAAATGAAAGGGAGGAGGTTGTGACTTTCTATGGTTCAATTGTCAGAATGATTTAAGAGAAGCAAGTTTAGTTTTTCTGTGTAAGCCTCAGCTCTTTAAATTAAATGAAATGTGCAGAGTCGCGTACTGTCTCTCGTTTTTACCTTATGTGCTCACAAAGCTGCACACAGAATCATTGACATCGTCATGGATGCTACATTATGCAAAAATACATAATTCTTCTTGGTGGAGATTTAATTTCTGTTGTATCCAACATCTAGTAGTAGTAGTAGTATAAGGTTTTACGGCGCTCGCAACTGCTAAGGTCATATGAGCGCGCGAAACACAAGTTGTTCACCTCTGCGAAAGTTCATTTCACGACTGGTAACCAATTTACTTTAAAATGCTAAAAAGTTAAAATATTCAAATTCGGTGTAAATACATTTGTGATCTAAAACAACTTTTAAGTAACAATAAAAATTTTAAATAATATCAGATTGACTTTACAACTCGCCATAAAGGCCAATGGCCTTTATAAAATTTAAAATTCTGCTGGGAACAACGACGGAGAAAATATCCTGCAATTTCTTGCATTTATAATATTTCCTTCGGATCTCTCCAAAGTCTAGACATTCTGTTAAAATGTGTCTAATGGTAAAATCTGTGTCGCATCCGACACAGAACGGCTTCTCCTCTCCCTGTAGGAGGTATTTGTGAGTCAGGGCCGTGTGTCCGATGCGCAATCGAGTAAAAATGACTTCGTCTCTTCTGGAGAGGTCTGAAGGATTTCGCTGTTCTAGTCTGGGTTTAATTTCATATAATTTATTATTTTTCTGGTTTTCCCAGTGGCTCTCCCACATCTGCCACAACTTTGTCAAGTGTCTTGGACTATGCTTTTGCATAATATTGCCTCCGTGATATTATCAATGATGTTCTGTAGCTTATTTCATGCAGGATTAGAACTAAAAATATAAGGTAAATGGGTACTTTTATTTAGTGTTTAGGTCTTTTCTCCTCAAAATTTTAGTGGCTATTTTTGTACGACTGTGAATAATGCCACATGGAGATTAAACATAGACTCTATTATATGGAGAAAAAACTCCAGGCTTGTTTTCATAACCTCAATGTAGATGTAAAAATGTATAAGCAAAATTCATATTTTATAAGAAATTCATTAACTTTAATTTCTTGGCACTTTGATGTGTGATGGTAATACACTTATTTTGTAACACATTTGAATAAATTACAATAGTTTTGTGCAACGCGCTTGATTAGAATTTCCTCAAGGGAAGAAACCCCAACAAATTTTGATCTAGACTCCAGGCACTTATATAGAGTTCTGGTTTGTGAATATTAGTTGGTCTGTTCAGTCAAGGAATGTGAAGAACGTTTTAAGATCTCGTGCTGGCTGTGACTGTGCTTTTTTTTTGCTTTTTCTGAATTTTTTTTGGATCCTTTTGAATTATGAAACACCAGATTTTGAAAATTAATGAGTAGAAGGTTGAATGCGAGTGATTCTGTGCAAGTTATTTTATGGACAGGTATTCTATTTCAAGAACATTAGATTAGTTAGATATTTGTTTATAATATGAACACAGGAGCTTGTTAAATATAATTATGCTCTTTTTTCTTTTAGAATTATGACAATTTCAGTCTTGGAAAAATTTAAAAGAAACCTTTCTCACACTAAGAGCAGGTTTCTTTTTCATAATGATATAACATGTGAGGCCCTGTCATGTGTTTAAATATTTGAATGCATTCTATGTGGTTATAGAATGAAATGTATAAAGATTGAAGTCTGTGATACAGTACATTACATTCCGTCCATTTTCTGTAAATTTAAAGGACATTGTTGGAAAAGTCAAATAAACACTGGCAGAAAATGTCACCAATGTCTTTGTAGTTTCATTATCTTTGACTTTCATTGTCTGTGTTGGTAGTTGTTATAGTAGAGTTGACTGATATTTCTTGTCTGTGATGGAAAATTTGTGTGCTGACAAAATGAGTTACTTCTCGGAATCCACAAATGGAGACATTGGCCAAAAATGGACACTAGGGTCAAATTTGTAGAATTTCTATTGATGCCATATTCTTTAACCATAACCTGTCTTTTATTATTCCTAACTTCTAAATTGTAAAAACTTTACCTATTATTCAAGGACTTCTTAGCCAGATGTATCTATTTCCTTAAGGCTTGAATCTGAGAAATAACTCATTTTGTCAGCATGCTTCACATTTGTAACTTTTTCATTGCCTGTGTTGGCACAAATGTGTGCCTGTCTTCAACACAGCAAGGTTGTTCAACACCTTTCTGATCACTATGTCCTTTTAGGACAAATGACAGGAATACTGGAGTTCAAATATTTCTTTAAAGAAGCCTGATATACATACTTATTGCAAACCAAAATATCATTTTTAGATATTCATGAAGCGGGTGGTTGGAGGGTGCCACTGGTGGGTCCTACTTCTTTCCTTTCCCTCTGTTGTTTCTGTCTGTCTTACTTTTTCCCAGCACTAAATGACCATTACTGTGTCGATGCGGATGAGCTTGTTTTAACTCAAAACAAATAAAACATTCATGAAACAGAAGTCAAATACATTTTTCTGTGCATATATGAGACGGATACTTTTTGCACAATAACTGTGTGTGTGCCTAGAGAAAGGTACCAAGTCGCCTCAGACCGTTTCGAGCTACAGGATGATAATGACAAAAATCACTTTTTTTGACCAAAATGTGTTTCCTTAAGAAAATGTGAGGTGTGCTGACAAAATAAGTTACTTCTCGCTGTCCACGAGTGGAGATATCGGCCCAAAATCGACACTGCGGTCAGATTTATAGATATCTAATTGATACCATTTTGTTCAAGTTTACCATGTCATTTATTCTTCCATACTTACAAATTGTACAAACTTCACCTATAAAGTTGATATATCAATTTCCATAAGGCTAAAATCGGAGAAGTAACTCATTTTGTCAGCGCACCTCACAAATGATAGATCCACCATTTTTAAACAATGTGCTCAAAGGGTTTTCATTGATTTGACTTCTAAATAATTTATTTTGAATTATTTGAGGGAAGGGTATAATAGAAAACAAATAAAGAAAACTGGTTCTAAAAGAAAATCTATTCTTGAAGCACATTTTCTCTTCCCTGCTATGTTTTACCGTTATATTCCATTCATGATATTGATGTCAACTGAATGCCAAATTGGAAATGAAATTTCCATGAATAAATACATTTAAAAAATCCATTTTTTTAAAGTTTGTATGTGTTCTCACGTTTGTTAAACTTAAAAAGCTCATTTTCTCAAAATTATATTTCTATACCCTACCTCGCAAAATTTGCAATATCTCAAAAAACTACTTGAGATATCTATAAAATTCAAAGACCTCTGTGTTCAGCATTGAATTTCTTCCTATAAGGTACAACTCTTAACTCAAAATGGTCAAAATCCGACTTTTGGTAACTTTCTTTAGGCACACAGACAATTATAAAAACTTAGTAGGACTTGCGTTGAAGAGTTTGTTTTTTTACTTGGTAAGCATACAACCAAAATTCCAACAATTACACCTTTCCAGGACAAACAGACATAAACGGACAATGAAAGAGTCAAAAGGAAACGATTATATAGCAGGTTTTATAACATTTATTAAAATTATAATACATTTTTTGTACAACAGCAGAAACTCTCACATCCTTTACAGTCCACTCCACTCACAGCAGTCTTGTCGATGCCATTTGTCATTGCCAAATGAAGTGAACACACACACACACATTTATATGGTTGCTTTTAAGGACAAGCGGACTAATCCAGATTTCAGGGGCTTCCAGAAATCTTGACCTGCATCAAAAGTGGGCATTGCTCCACCCATAGGAGAAGTTTGGTTTCATTAGTTTGTATAATTTGTTTGGTCATAGAGAAAACTCTCCTTGTCTTTTATTATAAACTAAAAAAGGGGAAAAAATTCTATCTTCGATTTTCTCAAAACGGCATTTTTCGGGATAGCCCCCTTGTGCTTAAAAGAGACCATATATACACACACACTAACTGCAAAAAATTGACAACATCCATTTGGTCACACTCTCATACTCATACTCTGTAGATGCAAACATACACTCAATATAAGTTTTTAATTGACTGAGACACATGAGTGAAAAGTGCACAGAGTCCTAATGGATGAAACAGTCTGCACACATGCCATGAATTCTCTTTAAAACAAAAAACTTATTCACAGTGAAATGAATTGAGAACATCCGAGTAAACTATGGTAAGTCACTTTTTTCAAATTTTACAGGAGAGACAAGTGGATTTTCTTGAAGCGTTTTGGGTGGATAAACTTCATTTTCATAGGGGAGACCACAAATGCCATGACAGACATTAGGCTCCCTTATGAAAATGAAGTGTATCCACCCAAAACGTTTCAAGAAAAAGTCCAGTTTTTTTTTCGTCTCTCCTGTGAAATTTGAAAAACGTGACTTACCATAGTTTACTTGGCGGCCCTCCAACACAAAGCAACCACGACACAAAATCAATGTGCTCACCATCACTCACTCATCATGAATCAATTGTTCATCATCACACACTCATCATGAATCAATTGCTCATCATCACTCATCATGAATCAATGTTGATGAATTCACTCTCATGAAAAATGTTCACTGTTTACAGACGTATTCCTGAAAACAGTTCCTGTAATAATATCATAATCAGGAGAGCTCTTCTGGCTTCCTCTGATAACTATTCAATTCCAGTTTTCCCCATTCTATATAGTTTCACAAGTTAACTGATTCACTCCCGCAAGCCGCTGTCATCGGCTCGCATGTGTTGTTTGGACCGTTTAGTTTTAGCGTTTTACAGCACTAGAAACACAATAAGGTTGTATAAGTGCCGAAGATTAGAGGTGTTACAAGAGAGTAACAAACACAAAAAAGGAGGTGAGATAGAGACGATTTTTTAAAGGAAAGAAGGAGCAAACCACACCAGAGCACCCGCCAAGGAAAAGACCCAAACTGGATACTTTATCTACTCGTAGCTGTGCTCCGTTACCAGCATGGGTGAACATCAGCGAAGGTGAGCAAGTGAGCTTAAAAAATGTCAGGTTCACCCCCACCTAACGGTTTATCTGGAGAGAGGGTAGAGACTGGCCTTAGACTCAGTAAATCATCAACACTCTGCGACTGCTTCACGGCATTATTCACTGAGGACATTCAGAACAAACTTCCCTCGTCTATATGTACGTATGTATAGTATAGGGTTTTACCGCACTCGCAACTGCTAAGGTCATATGAGCGCGCGAAACACAAGTTGTTCACCTTCGCAAAAGTTCACCCCACGGCTGGTTAACT